GGGTCTTTTGTGGTTCTGTACAAATTTTAGGATTGTTTGTTCTAGTTCTGTGAAAAATGCTGTTGGTATTTTGATATGGATTACCTTAAATGTGTAGATTACTTTGGGTAGTATGAACATCTTAACAATATTCTTCTATAAGCATGGAATGTCTTTGTTTCTTTGTGTCCTGTTCAATTTCTTTCATCAGTGTTTTTTAATTTTCAGAATATAGATCTTTCACCTCTTTGGTTAGGTTTATTCCTAAGTATCTTACTATTTTGGTTGCAATTGTAAATGGGATTGTTTTCTTAATTTCTCTTTCTGCTGCTTTATTACTAGCTTATAGAAATGCAACAGATTTCTGTATATGACTTCATATCCTGTGACTTTACTGAATTCATTTATCAGTTCTAGTAAATATTGGTGGAGTCTTTAGGATTTTCTATATATAGTATCATTAACATCCACAAATAGTGGAATTTTTACTACTTCTTTACAGATTTGGATGCCTTTTATTTCTTTTTTGTTGTTTAACTGCTTTGGCTAGGACTTTAACTACTATGTTAAAGAAATGTGATGAGAGTCATCCTTGTCTTGGTCCTGACCTTAGGGGAAAGTCTCTCACTTTTTCCCTTTTAAGGATGATGTTAGCTGTGGGATTTTTATTTATGGCCTTTATCATGTTGAGGTATGTTTCCTCTAAACCTACTTTGTTGAGGGTTTTTAATTATAAATGGATGTTAAGTCTACTGAAACAATAAAATTATTATAAGGTTCTTATCCTTTTTTTTATTTTTTTTTTAATTTTTTTTTTATGTTTATTTATTTTTGAGACAGAGAGGGACACAGAGCATGAACGGGGGAGGGTCAGAGAGAGGGAGACACAGAATCTGAAACAGGCTCCAGGCTCTGAGCGGTCAGCACAGAGCCCGACGCGGGGCTCAAACTCACGGACCGCGAGATCACGACCTGAGCCGAAGTCGGACGCTCAACCGACAGAGCCACCCAGGCGCCCCTCCTTTTTTTTTATTAATGTGATGTATCACGTTGATTGATTTTCAAATATTGAACCACCTTGCAATCCAGGAATAAATCCCACTTGATTTGGGTAAATGATTTTTTTCATGTGTTCTTAGATTCAGTTTGCTAGTATTTTGTTGAGGATTTTTGCATCTGTGTTCATCAGCGTTATTGTCCCATGGTTCTCTTTTTTAGTGGAGTCTTTATCTGGTTTTGGTATTAGGGTAATGTTAGCCTCACAGAATGACTTTGGAAATTTTACTTCATTTTCTGTATTTTAGAATAGTTTAAGAAGAATGAGAATTAACTCTTTAAATTTTGGTAGAATTTGCCTATGAAGCCGTCTGGTCCTGGACTGTTGGTTTTTGGGAGTTTTTTGATTACTGATTCAATTTCTTTGCTCATAATTGTTCTCAAATTTTCTATTTCTTCCTGTTTCAGTTTTGGTAGTTTATATATTTATGGAATTTATCCATTTCTTCCAGATTGCCCAGTTTGTTGGCATATAGTTTTTCATAATATTCTCTTATGATTGCATTTCTGTGGTGTTGGTTATTTCTCCTTTATCATTTGTGACTTTATTTGGGCCCTTTCTCTTCTTGATAAGTCTAGCTAGAGATTATCCATTTGTTAATTTTTTTTTTCCCCAAAGAACCAGCTCCTGGTTTCATTGATCTGTTTGTAGCAGGATTCTCACACAGAGAATCGTGACACCGAGGCTTTTCTTTCCAGGAAGCAACTTTATTCCTACCAACAACACTTAGTTGAGTACATACCCGAAGAACTAAGCCCCGAACACCACGTGGCGTAGTTTTTATTTATTTTTTTTTACTTCCTTGTCTCCCATATATGGTAACACACAAACATGTAGTCTGATTAAGTGGTCTCATGTTACAAGGTCATGAGGGATGTTGTCAAGTACACGAATAGCAAGGTTGCCTTGAGATTTTGTTTGTTTCTTTTTCCTTAGGAAGGGGACCCTACCACATGTTTTTTTTTTAGTTTTAATATCATTTATTTCTGCTCTAATCTTTATTATTTCCTTCCTTCTGATTTTAGATTTTGTTTCTTATTCTTTTTCTAGAGCCTTTATGTATAAAGTTAGATTGTGTATTTGAGACTTTTCATACTTCTTGAGGTAAACCTATATTGCTATAAACTTCCCTGTTAGAACGCTTTTCCTGCATCCCAAAAGTTTTGAGCCATTGTGTTATCATTTTAATTTGTTTCCATGTACTTTTTTGTTTCTTCTTTTATTTCCTGGTTGAGCCATTCATTGTTTGGTAGCATGTTATTTAACCTCCAGGTATATGTGGTCTTACCAGATTTTTCTTGTGGTTGACTTTTAGCTTCATGGTCACAAAAGACACATGGTATGACTTTAATCTTTTAATTTGTTGAGGCTTGTTTTGTGGCCTAATATATGATCTGTTGTGGAGAATGTTCCATGTGTACTTGAAAAGAATGTGTATTCTGTTTTATGATGGAATGCTCTGAATATATTTGTTAAATCCATCTGGACTAGGGCATCATTCAAAGCCATTGTTTCCTTTTGATTTTCTGTTTAGGTGATCTGTGTAGTAATGTAACTGGAGTGTTGAAGTCCCCTACTATGAATTGTATTATCATTGATTAGTTCCTTTGTATCTGTTTTTAACTGTTTTATGTATTTGGGTGTTTCTCTGTTGGGTGCACAGATATTTATAATTGTTGTATCTTCTTGTTGGATTGTCCCCTTCATTATTATTCAGTGTCCTTTTTCTTTTATTACAGTGTCTGTTTTGAAATCTAATTGTCTGATATAAGTATTGCTTTCTATTGACCTTCCCAAACTTAGGAATCTTTAAGCCTTTAAAAATAATCTTTGTCTTAACATGCAATAAGAAAAGAAATAAGAAGTAGGGTAATTTCTCCTCCCCTCATCCATCTCTTCTCCTTATGCATTGCTTGCACAAATCTGGTCCACTACTAAATGTTAGGTTTGGTGATAGTAAATTTGTCAGTTAAGAAAAAGAATGAGTTTTAAATCATTTGGTATTTTGAGTTGAAGGTAGAACTGGAATAATATTATCTCTAGCAGATACAGAGACATTGGTAAAGAGGAAATGATGAATTCTTTACAGAGATATGAGGTGAACTTAAAAGAGACATTTAAGTGGGAGTTCCCAGACATTTCTTCTCATTCCTCCTGATGAATTATTGAGCACCAGAAAGAGGTGTATGAGTTGAAGCATATTAATTAATGAATTTCTTTTTACAGTTTCCACCATCATGACCTACAGTACTTAAGAGCTCCAGGCATTAGCCTTCATCCACAGGAGGGGATACAAGGAAAATATTGATAGAATTTCACTGCCTAGCCCTACTAGTCTAAGAGTTTTAGTGGGGGACTTTCCCATAGCTTCCATACAGGTGCAGTTCTAGTTATTCTATAGAATTGTGCTTTGTGGAATCATGCTATATAGCACAGTGCCACTCTAGGAAAAATAGGTACATAACAAACATCATATGAAAGAGAGAAATGAGTACCATATTCTAAAAACAGATAAAAAGTACACTGAATTTTAGGTATCATCAGTTACAAATAGTTGACAGGAATAAAGTAGTTGAAGAATAGGAAGAGTAACACACCCCAATTGTCTTTCATAGGCCAAAGAAGTTGGAGGAGCTGAGACATGATGATAATAGTTGAATCATAGTAATCTATGTTTTTCACATGTCTAGATCTGAGTCAGTTCACCATTCTTTGAAATCAACTATTTGGAAATGAGGGCTCCTGATATCACATTAGGAATGGAAGATACACCCAGAGAACTTTTTGTGTGGTGCAGTTCATGAGTGCTTATATGTGTGTGTCTTTTTAGAAGGAAAGTTTGAACTTAGTTGTTTTAGAACATGTTAAACTTCAGTTCAATTAAACTTCAGTGCCCCCAAATGCTACACTTAGTAACTAAAGTTAATGTTTTATAGAACTTGAGGAACATGAGTTCTCTTATTGTGTGTGCCTAAGTTATCTCTTGGAAGGAAATTAAATTATTAAGTATGTAAACATACTCCAGTTTGGTACACAAATGTATCATTTAGAAGAATCATTAGAGAAGTTCTATACATGCAGACATAAACTTCAGATTCTTTACTGTTCTAATTTTTTACTTTGTGTCTGTATATGTGTGTGTGTGACATTTGAAAGCCAAGTTATTATCAGCATCTGCCAACTTGACCAGCCAAGGGATATGCAGTTGCTAGATAGCTATTCTAAGCTTGATTTCCTGATAAATTCTCACCTTCTCTCTTCAACAATTTTGATCTCTTGTTCTTATTTAACAGCCAGAGTAATATGATTGCTCCGCTCTAAGCAGTTTTTCAGGATTGATCTATCAAATAAGAACCTGTGTAGTTCCTCATTCATTAAAACATGGAAATTCAAGCCTAGGTCTGGTAATGGTAAAAATTGGGTTGCAGTCTGAAAACAGAAGGAGCTTCCCTGGCAGCTGTGGCTGAACTGTCTTACCCCAAAACCATACAGTGTGATTTTTTTTGTGTGTAGGGGTTATTATTTTCCTTATAAAACCTCCCAAGACAAATGATTTAACAGGCCCAGTTTGTAGAAATCAGATTTCTAGAGTGGTATGTATTATAGCAATTTAAAAGGAAAAAATTGAGTTGAGCTATACTTTTAAAATAGAATAATTGTCAAAACTATATACAGGTATATATACCTCTTTTTATTGCACTTTGCTTTACTGCACTCCCAGATACTGTTTTTTATGAATTGAAGGTTTGTGGCAACCCTGCATCAAACATCTGTCAGTGTCATTTTTCCAACAGCATTTGCTTTTTATGTCTCTGTCTCACATTTTGGCGGTTCTCACAATATTTCAGACTTTTTCATTATTATTATATTTGTTTTGATGATCCTTGATCAGTGATCTTTGGTGGTGTTATTGTAATTGTTTTGGAGTGCCGCAAACTGTGCCCATGTTAGATGACAAACTTAGTCAATAAATGTTGTTTATGTTCTCACTGCTCCACCTGCCAGCCTTTCCCCTGTCTCACTCTCCACCTCTCCCTCCATTTGGGCTTCCCTATTCCCTGAATCACAGTAATCTTGAAATTAGGCTAATTAATAACCCTGCAGTTTCCTCTAAGTGTTCAGGTGAATGGAAGTTTTGCACATCTCTTCCTTTATTTATTTATTTATTTATTTATTTATTTATTTATTTAGTGTCACATTAGGTCTTTATAGTGAACTATATAAAAGATTTCAAATATGGTACAGGTATGAGATTTATAAGGAAAATTACTTAAAAGACAATAAGCAATATAGTGTCACGTCATAGTTGAATCATTAAACTCTTACTGAGACTCCTTCTGAATAGAGGTATATTAAATACTTATAAAATTGATTATTGATAATGGATATTGATATTGATAATGGAATTATCAGTTTTAAGTTTTATTATCAGTTTTAAGAACTCGCCATCTTTGAATCTTTCTCTTCCATCAATGAGGCCTACCCTGAGTACTCGAAATAAAAGCGAGCATCTCTTTCCTGCTGCACACTCGGTTTCCTCTCACCCAGCTCCACTTTTATTCTGATGGCATTTGTCATTATATGATATGCTAAAAAGCTTACATATTTTTTTTTCTTGTCTAGAATACAAGCACTGCAAAGGCTTGAACATTTGTTTGTTTTGTTCACTGTTGTGTCTCAATTACCTCGAAAACTGCCTGACTCACATTGTAAGTGTGAAGAAATGCTTCATGCTTGAATGACTGAATGAACAGAGGATATTATATAAATCCCTGTTTAATATTGCTTGTCCTCACAATTTCTAGAATAATCATCTGACACAAAACTCGCCTTGTGCTTAAATCGGATTATGCTGGCAGAATAATGTGAGAGGCCCATGGACAGCTCCCCTTGGAATATCTTCTTCAGCAGTGCCTAAAATTAAACAATTAGTATATGTCCTCATCTTCTTTTCCTCCTCCTCCTCTTTTTTTTTTCCCCAAAGGAAGGTGAGGTACTTTAAAATTCAGATGCCATTGGGAAGGGTAACATATTCCATGCCTAACATCTTAATGAGAGCACTACCTATCGTTTCTGCTGTTACTCCTTTGACCCAAGCCAGAGGTATCTCCTCCTTAAATTACTGGAATCATTCTAATTGGGCCCTGTTCTTCCACTGTGATTCCTATAAAGTCTCTTGTTAGCACAAAACCACACTAATTCTTTCAAAATTACAACAGATTATGAGTCTCTTACGCTCCAAACCTCCAATGTCTCCTCATTTCTCTCATTTTAAAGTCCTGAGTCTGTGCCATGGCCTGCAACACCCCATATAACCTGTGACTGTGTCTCCTACACTGCATCTCTATACTTCCCTCTGACTTTATCTCCTGTACTTTTTTTTGCTCCCTTTGGCCTCCTTACTATGTTTCAAACACACCTTAGGTTACCAGCATCATCTGTTCCTCCTCTTCTCTTTATCCAGATAGCCTCATGGCCAAGTCCTTGCCTCTCTAAAGATTTTAGGTTTAGTTAAAGATTTAGATAAAGATTTTCTCACTGAGAAAGGGTACCCACACTACCCTTTTTTTTTTAATTGAAGCTTGTTAATATACAGTGTAATAATGGTTTCAGGAGTAGTGATATGACACCCAGTGCTCATCCCAACAAATGCCCTCCTTAATGCCCATCACCCATTTAGCCCATCCCCCCATCTAATACTCCTCCAGCCACCCTCAGTTTGTTCTCTATGTTTAAAAGTCTCTTAGGGGCGCCTGGGTGGCGCAGTCAGTTAAGCATCCGACTTCAGCCAGGTCACGATCTCACGGTCCGTGAGTTCGAGCCCCGCGTCAGGCTCTGGGCTGATGGCTCAGAGCCTGGAGCCTGTTTCCGATTCTGTGTCTCCCTCTCTCTCTGCCCCTCCCCCGTTCATGCTCTGTCTCTGTCCCATAAATAAATAAAAACGTTGAAAAAAAAAATAAAAAAAAAAAAGTCTCTTAGAGTTTGCCTTCCTCTGTTTTGTATTATGTTTCCTTCCCTTTCCCTGTGTTCACTGTTTTGTATTAAATTCCACGTGAGTAAAACCATATGATATTTGTCTTCCTCTGAATTATTTCACTTAGCATAATACATTCTACTTCCATCCACATTGTGGCAAATGGCAAGATACCATTCTTTTTTTTTTTTTTTTAATGTTTATTTATGTATTTTTAGAGAGAGTCAGAGAAAGGGACAGAGAGAATCCCAAGCAGGCTCCACCCTCAGCATGGAGCCTGACGCAAGGCACAATTCCACGAACTGTGAGACCATGACCTGAAATCAAGAGTCATACACTTACGTGACTTACGTGACTTACACTTACATACAAAATCAAGAGTCATACACTTACGTGACTGAGCTAGCACCCCAGATTTCATTCTTTTTGATCACTGAGGGATATTTCATTGGGGGTGTATATATATGTATGCATACGTATGTATATATACGTGTGTGTGTATATATATATATATATATATATTATATATGTGGTGTGTGTGTATATGTTATGTATATGTATTAAATATGTAACATATATTATATATATATCATATACACACACACACACACCACACCTTCTTTATCCGTCCATCAGTTGATGGACAGATGGGTTCTTTCCATGATTTGGCTATTGTTGATAGTGATGCTGTAAACATTGGGGTACATGTGCCCCTTCAAATCAGCTTTTTTGTGTCCTTTGGATAAATACCTAGTAGAATAATTGCTGGGTCATATTGTAGCTCTATTTTTAATTTTTTGAGGAATCTCCATACTGTTTTCCAGAGTGGCTGCACCAGTTGCATTTCCACCAACAGTGCAAAATTGTTCACCTTTCTCCGCATCCTCACCAACATCTGTTGTTTCCTGAGTTGTTAATTTTAGCCATTCTGACAGTTGTGAGGTGGTATCTCATTGTGGTTTTGATTTATATTTGTCTGATGATGAGTGATGTTGAGCATCTTTTCATGTGTCTGTTAGCCATCTGGATGTCTTCTTTGGAAAACTGAAGCAGCAGAAAGAGAAATCAAGGAATCAGTCCCATTTACATTTATACCAAAAACCATAAAATACCTAGGAATAAACCTAACCAAAGAGGTAAAAGATTTGTATGCTGAAAACTATAGAAAGCTTATGAAATAAAAAAGTTAAAGAAGATCGTAGGGTAGTTGTAGTTTTAATTTTTTGAGGAACCTCCATACTGTTTTCCAGAGTGGCTACACCAGCTTGCATTCCCACCAACAATGCAAAAGAGATCCTCTTTCTGTGCATCTTCGCCAACATCTGTTGTTGCCTGCGTTGTTAATGTTAGCCATTCTGACAGGTGTGAGGTGGTATCTCATTGTGGTTTTGATTTGTAATTCCCTGATGATGAGTGATGTTGAGCATTTTTTCATATATCAGTTGGCCATCTGGATATCTTCTTTGGAGAAGTGTCTATTCATGTCTTTTGCCCATTTCTTCACTGGATTATTTGTTTTTTGGGTGTTGAGTTTGTTAAGTTCTTTATAGATTTTGGATACTAACCCTTTATCTGCTATGTCGTTTCCAAATATCTTCTCCCATTCCGTCGGTTGCCTTTTAGTTTTTCTGATTGTTTCCTTCACTGTGCAGAAGGTTTTTATTTTGATGAGGTCCCAATCATTCATTTTTGCTTTTGTTTCCCTTGCCTGCAGAGACGTGTTGAGTAAGAAATTGCTGGGGCCAAGATCAAAGAAGTTTTTGGCTGCTTTCTCCTTGAGGATTTTGATGACTTCCTGTCTTATGTTTAGGTCTTTCACCCATTTTGAGTTTATTTTTGTGTATGGTGTAAGAAAGTGGTTTCTGCATGTCGCTGTCCAGTTTTCCCAGCACCACTTGAAGAGACTGTCTTTATTCCATTGGATATTCTTTCCTGCTTTGTCAAAGATTAGTTGGCCATACATTTGTGGGTCCATGTCTGGGTTCTCTAATCTGTTCCATTGATCTATGTGTCTGTTTTTGTGCCCGTACCATACTGTCTTGATGATTACAGCTTTGTAATACAACTTGAAGTTGTATTTGGTTTTCTTTTTCAAGCCAATTGCTTTGGCTATTCGGGGTCTTTTCTGGTTCCATACAAGTTTTAGGATTGTTTGTTCTAGCTCTGTGAAGGATGCTGGTGTTATTTTGATAGGTATTATATTGAATATGTAGATTGCTTTGGGTAGTATTGACATTTTAACAATATTTGTTCTTCCTATCCAGGACCATGGAATATTTTTCCATTTTTTGGTGTCTTCAATTTCTTTCATAAGCTTTCTATAGGTTTCAGTGTATAGATTTTTCACCTCTTTGGTTAGATTTATTCCTAGGTATTTTACGGTTTTTGGTGCAATTGTAAATGGGATCGATTCCTTGATTTCTCTTTCTGTTGCTTCATTATTGGTGTATAGGAATGCAACCGATTTCTGTGCATTGATGTTACATCCTGCAACTTTGCTGAATTCATGGATCAGTTCTAGCAGTTTTTTGGTGGAATCTTTTGGGTTTCCCATATAGAATATCATGTCACTGCAAAGAGTGAAAGTTTGACCTCCTCCTAGCCGATTTGGATGCCTTTTATTTCTTTGTGTTGTCTGATTGCAGATTCAAAGACTTCCAATACTATGTTGAATAAGAGTGGCGAGAGTGGACATCCCTATCTTGTTCCTGACCTTAGGGGGAAAGCTCTCAGTTTTTCCCCATTAAGGATGATATTAGCAGGTCTTTCATGTATGGCTTTTATGATCTCGAGGTATAGTCCTTCTATCCCTACTTTCTTGAGGGTTTTTATCAAGAAAGGATGCTGTATTTTGTCAAATGCTTTCTCTGCATCTATTGAGAGGATGGTATGGTTCTTGTCCTTTCTTTTATTGATTTGATGAATCACATTGATTGTTTTGTGGATATTGAACCAGCCCTGCATCCTAGGATAAATCCCACTTGGCTGTGGTGAATAATTTTTTTAATGTATTGTTGGGTCCGGTTGGCTAATATCTTGTTGAGGATTTTTGCATCCGTGTTCATCAGGGAAATTGGTCTATAGTTCTTCTTTTTAGTGGAGTCTTTGTCTGGTTTTGGAATCAACGTAATGATCTCTTCCTAGAAAGAGTTTGGAACTTTTCCTTCCATTTCTATTTTTTTTGTATAGCCTCAAGAGAATAGGTGTTAACCCTTCCTTAAATGTTTGGTGGAATTCCCCTGGAAAGCTTTCTGGCCCTGGACTCTTGTTTTTTGGGAGATTTTTGATTACTAATTCTGTTTCTTTATTGGTTATGGGTCTGTACAAATTTTCTATTTCTTCCTTTTTCAGTTTTGGTAGTTTATATGTTTCCAGGAATTTGTCCATTTCTTACAGATTGCCCATTTTGTTGGTGTATAATTGCTCATAAGATTCTCTTATTATTGTTTGTATTTCTGCTGTGTTGGTTGTGATCTCTCCTCTTTCAGTCTTGATTTTATTTATTTGGGTCCAATCCTTTTTCTTTCTGATCAAACGGGCTAGTGGTTTATCAGTTTTGCTAATTCTTTCAAAGAACCAGCTTCTGGTTTCATTGATCTGTTCTACTGGTTTTTTGGGTTTTTTTTTGGTTTCAATGGCACTGATTTCTGCTCTAATCTTTATTATAATTTCCTGTCTTCTGCTGCTTTGGGGTTTTATTTGCTGTTCTTTTTCCACCTTTTTAAGGTATAAGGTTAGGTTGTATATCTGAGACCTTTCTTCCTCCTTTAGGAAGGCCTTGATTGCTATATACTTCCTTCTTATGACCGCCTTTGCTGCATCCCAGAGGTTTTGGACTGTGGTTTATCATTTTCAGTGGTTTCCATGTACTTTTTAATTTCCTCTTTAACTTCTTGGTTATTAGCCCATTCAGACTTTAGTAGAATGTTCTTTAGTCTCCAAGTATTTGTTATCTTTCCAAATTGTTTCTTGTGGTTGATTTCAAGTTTCACAGCGTTGTGGTCTAAAAATACACATGGTATGATCGTGATCTTTTTTGTACTTGTTGAGGGCTGATTTGTGTCCTAGTATGTGATCTATTCGGGAGAACATTTCCATGTGCACTAGCAAAGAATGTATATTCTGCTGCTTTAGGATGAAATGTTCTGAATATATCCATTAAGTCCATCTGATGCAGTGTGTGTTGTTCAAAGCCATTGTTTCCTTGTTGATTTTCTACTTAGATAATCTGTCCATTTTTGTAAGTGGGGTGTTGGAGTCCCCTACTATTATGGTATTATTATGAATGAATGGATAAAGAAGATGTGATACACACACACACACACACACACACACACACACACACACAATGGTGTATTCCTCAACAATCAAAAAGAATGAAATCTTGCCATTTGGAACTACACGGATGGAACTAAAGGGTATTATGCTAAGCAAAATTAGTCAGAGAAAGACAAATATATGATTTCACTCATATGAGGACTTTAAGATACAAAACAGATGAACATAAGGGAAGGGAAGCAAAAATAGTGTAAAAAACAGAGAGGGGGATAAAACGTAAGAGGCTCTTAAATATGAAGAACAAACAGAGGGTTACTGGAGGGGTTGTGGGAGGGGGGATGGGCTAAATGGGTAAGGAGCATTAAGGAATCTACTCCTGAAATCATTGTTGTACTATATGATAACTAACTTGAATGTAAATTTTAAAAAATAAATTTAAAAAAAGTTAAGGAAGATACAAACAAATGGAAAAACATTCCATGCTCATGGATAGAAGAACAAATATTGTTAAAATGTCTATACTACTCAAAGCAATCTATACATTCAGTTCAATTTCTATCAAAATAACACCAGCATTCTTCACAGAGCTAGAACAAGCAATTCTAAAATTTGTATGGAACCAGAAAAGTCCCTGTATAGCCAAGTAGTGTTGGGGGAAAAGAAAAAAATCTGGAGGCATCACAATCCTGGAGTTCAAGCTGTATTACAGAGGTGTAATCATCAAGACAGTATGGTACTGGCACAAAAACTGACACATAGATCAATGGAACAGAATAGAGAACCCAGAAATAGACCCACAAATGTATGGCCAACTGTCTTTGACAAAGGGAAGGAGTATTCAATGGGAAAAAGACAGTCTCAGGGCACCTGGGTGGCTCAGTTGTTTAAGTGTCTGACTCTTGATTTGAACTCTGGTCATGATCTCACCATTCATGAGACTAAGACCACATTCAGCTCTGCACTGTCATCGTGGAGTCTGCTTGGGATTCTCTCTCCCCCCACCCGCCGACCTTCTCCCACTCACTCATGTGTGTGCTCTCTCTCAAAATAAATAAACATGAAAAAGAAATTTTTTTCAAAGATAAAAGACAGTCTCTTCAAAATTGGTGCTAAGAAAACTGGACGGAGACATGCATGAGAATGAAACCAGACCACCTTCTCACACCATACACAAAAATAAAATTCAAAATGGATGAAAGACATAAATGTAAGATAGGAAATCCATCAAAACCCAAAAGGAGAAAACAGGCAACAACCTTTTTGATCTCAGCTGCAGGAACTTCTTTCTAGACATGTCTCCGGAGGCAAGGGAAACAAAAGCAAAAATGAACTATTGAGACCTCATCAAGGTAAAAAGCTTCTGCACAGCAAAAGAAACAACAAAACTAAAAGGCAGCTGATGGAATGGGAGAAGATAGTTGCAAATGACATGTCAGATAAAGGGTTAGTATCCAAAATCTATAAAGAACTTAGCAAACTCAACACCCAAAAAACAAATAATCCATTCAAGAAATGGACAAAAGATCTCTCACTTTCCACAACACATTTCTCACTTTAAATTAAAAGCTAGAAAATGATTAAGCTTAGTAAGGCATGTTAAAACCCAAGAGATGCTGAAAGCTAGGCCTCTGACACCACACAGTTAGCCAAGGTGTTAATGCAAAGGAGAAGTCCTTGACAGAAATTAAAAGCGCTACTCCCTGAGAAAGTGAAACAGCCTTATTGCTGATAAAGAGAAAGTTTAAGTAATCTGGATGGAAGATCAAACCAGCCCCAACATTCCCTTAAGCCAAGGCCTAATCCAGAGCAAGACTCTCTAACTTTCTTCAGTTCTATGAGGGCTGAAAGAGATGAGAAAGCTGCAGGAAAGTGTGAAGCTAGCAGAGATTCATGAGGTTTAAGAACAGAAGCCATCTCCATGACAGATGTGCAAGGTGAAGCAGCAAGAGTTGAAACAAGCTGTAGCAAGTTATCCAGATCTAGCTAGGATAATTTATGAAGGTGGCTATACTAAAAAACAGGTTTTCAGTGTAGACAAAATAGCCTTCTATTGGAAGAAGATGCCATCTAAAACTTTCATAGCCGGAGAGGAAGAGTCAATGCCTGGCTTCAGAGCTTCAAATGACATGCTGACACTCTTGTTAGGGGCCATCCCAGCTGGTGACTTTAAGTTGAAGCCAGTGTACATTTACCATTACAAAAATCCCAAGGTCCTTAAGAATTATGCTAAATCTTCAGCCTGTGTTCTATAAATGGAACAACAAAGCCTAGATGACAACACAACAGTTTACATTACAACATTGAGACCTGCTCAGAAAAGAAGATTCCTTTCAAAATATGACTGCTCATTGACAATGCACCTAGTCACCCAAGAGCACTGATGGAAATGTACAATGAGATTCATATTGTTTTCATGCCTGCTAACACAGCATCCAGTCTGTAGCTCATGGATCAAGGATTCATTTCAACTTTCAAGTCTTATTATTTAAGTAATGTATTTTTAAAGGCTAGAGCTGCGATAGAAAGTGAATCTTCTAATAGTCTGGACAAAATAAATTGAAAGCCTTCAATAAGGCTCTTTTCATCTATATTGAAAATCTCTTATTTAGGGTAGCCACCTTGAGATGGAATGTACTCCTGATGAAGATGCAATGAGGATTATTGAAATGAAACAAAGGATTTAGAATATTACGTAAATTTAGTTGATAAAGCAGCAGCAGGGTTTGAGAGGATTGATTACCAATTTTGACATGTTTTTTAATTTTTTATTTTTGAGAGAGAAGAACGTGAGCAGGGGAGGAGCAGGAAAGAGGGAAACACAATCCAAAGAAGGCTCCAGGCTCTGAGCTGTCAGCACAGAGCACAATATACTGCTTGAACTTACAGACCACAAGATTATGACCTGCGCCGAATTTGGACGCTTAACCGATGCCCTGATTCCCAATTTTGAAAGAAGTTCTACTGTGGATAAAATGCTTTTAAACAGCATCTCATGATACAGAGAAATCATTCATGAAAGGAAGAGTCAGTGGATGTAGCAAACTTTATTGTTTTAAGAAATTGCCACGGCCACCCCAGGCTTCAGCTTCCACCATCCTAATCAGTCAGCAGCCATCAACATGGAAGCTTGACTCTCCACCAGCAAAAGATTATTACTTGTGCTCTGTATTATGTAGCTGCTTTATACATCATGGCAACCTATTCTCCTCATTTCACAGATTGGGAAACACAACCAGAGAGTTAAGTCATAAAGTAGTGTTGGGAACTTTTCCTCTTCCGCGTTCGGTGGTTGGGGAGCCTGTGAATTAATTGACAACAGGTTAGTAGGAGAAAAGTTTGGGGAGTGCTGCCTGAACAACTAGAAGTAGGGGTTTGTATATCAGTGCAAGAGAGAGGTGTGAAATATGTATGGTAATTTCTCATATTTGTTTATGTAATTTCTCATCTAGGTTTCCTTCCTTGGCTGGAAGTTCGAACCAAGAGGATTTATGGCAGCTTCTCAGAAAGCTCTGCCTTTAATCAGATAAGGGGAACAAAAAAGGCTTCTTTCTGTATCTGATTTGCATTTCCCTTACATGCCAACAAATTGGACAACCTGGAAGAAATGGATAAATTCCTAGAAACATCTTCATATGTCTGTTGGCCATGTGTATATTTTATTTGGGAAAATGTACCTGTTTCTGCCCATTTTTTAATTGGATTATTTTTTGGTATTGCGTTGTGTAAGTTCTTTATGTATTCGGGATACTAACACTTTATTACATATGTCACTTGCAGGTAACTTCTCGCAGTGAGTAGTTATCTTTGTCTTCTAGTTTTGTTCACGGTTTCCTTGCTATACAGAGCTTTTTATTTTGTTCTAGTCCCAATAGTTTATTTTTGCTTTTGTTTCCCTTGCCTCAGGAGACGTATCTAGAAAAATGTTGCTTGTGGCCGATTTCAGAGAAATTACTGCTTGTTCTCTCTTCTTGAATTTCTATGGTTTTAAGTCTCCATTTAAGTACTTAATCCATTTTATAAGAAAGTGGTCCATTTTCATTCTTTTGCACGTAGGTGTCCAGTTTTCCCAGCACCATTTGTTGAAGAGGCTTTGTCCCATTGCATATTCTTGCCTCCTTTGTCAAAGATTAACCATGTACTCGTAGGTTTATTTTGGGGCTCTCTATTCTATTCCATTGACTTATGTGTCTGTTTCTGTGACAGTATTACACAGTTTTAATTAGCTTTATAGTATAACTTGAAATCTGAGATTGTGATACTTAAATTTTTTATTCTTCATTTTCTTTTTTTTAAGTTTTTAAATTGTTATTTTATTCTTCATTTTCAAGACCACTTTGGCTATTCAGTCTTTTGTGGTTCCATACAAATTTTACAATTCTTTGTTCTAGTTATCTGAAAAATGCTGTTGGTACTTTGATAGGGATTGCATTAAATATATAGATTGCTTTGGGTAGTATGGACATTTTAACAATATTTGTTATTCCAATCCGTGAGCATCAGATATCTTTCCATTTGTTTGTGTCGTCCTCAATTTCATCAGTGTTTTTTAGTTTTCAGAGTACAGGTCTTTCACCTTTTGGTTAGGATTATTTCTAGGTATCTTATATTTTGGGTGCAATTGTAAATGGGATTGTTTTCTTAATTCCTTTCCTGCTACCTCATTATTAACGTATAGAAATGTGTATTGATTTTGTATTCTGTGACCTTACCAAATTCATTTATAAGTTCTAGACGTTTTTTGGTTGAGTCATGCAGGTTTTCTACATGTAGTGTCATGTCATCTGCAAATAGTGGGAGTTTTGCTTTTTCCATACTAATTTGGATACCTTTTATTTCTTTTGTTGTCTGATTGCTGTAGCTAGGATGTCCAGTACTATGTTGAATAAAAGTGGTGAGAGTGGACATTCTTGTCTTGTTCCTGATCTTAGGGGAAAAACTCAATTTTTCACTATTGGGTGTGATATTAGCTGTGGGTTTTCATATATGGTCTTTATGCCGTTGAGGCATGTTCCCTCTAATCATACTTTTGAGGGTTTTTATCATGAATGGATGTTGTACTTTGTCAAATGCTTTTTTCTGCATCTATTAAAATGACCATACGATTTTTCCCTTCTCTTGTTCATGTGATGTATCATATCAATTGGTTTGTGAATATTGAACCACCCTTGCATCCCAGGAATAAATCCCTTAATTGTGGCAAGTGATTTTTTTTAATGTATTGTTGGATTTGATTTGCTAGTATTTTTTTGAGGACTTTTGCATCTATATTCATCAGAATATATTGGTCTATAGTTCTCTTTCTCTGTAGTGTCTTTATGTGGTTTTGGTACCAGAGTAATGCTTGCCTCATAGAATGAATTTGGAAGCTTTCCTTTCTCTTCCATTTTTTGGAATAGTTTGAGAAGAACAGGTATTAACTCTTCTTTAAATGTTTGGTAAAATTCACCTGTGATGCTGTCTGGTCCTAGAATATTGTTGGGAGTGTATTTTATTAATGATTTCATTGCTGGTAATTAGTCTGTTCAAATTACTTAATTCTTCCTGATTCATTTTGGGAGGTTTTATGTTTCTAGGAATTTATCCAATTCTTCTAGGTTGTCCAATGTGTTGGCATGTAATTTTTTTTGTAATACTCTCTTATTATCTTTGGTATTACTCTGGTATCAATTGTTATTTCTCCTCTTTCATATCTGATTTTGTTGAGTCCTTTCTCCTGTTTTGTTGTTGTTGTTGTTGTTGTTTATGAGTCTGGCTAAAGGTCTATCAATTTTGTTGATCTTTTCAAAGAACCAGCTCCTGTTTTCATTCATCTATTCTAGTCTTTTAGTTTTTATTTTGTTAGCTTCTCCAATCTTTATTATTTCCTTCCTTCTATGTATTTGGAGTTTTGTTTTTTCTTCTTTTCCTACCTCCATTAAGTGTAAGGTTAGGTAGTTTATTTGAGATTTTTCTTGCTTCATGAGATAAACCTGTATTGCTGTAAACCTCCCTCTTAGAACAGCTTTTGCTAAAGATTTGGGACTGCTGGCTTTTCATTTTCACTTGTTTCCATGTATTTTTTTTATTTCCTCTTTTATTTCCTCTTTTAATTTCTTGGTTGACCCATTCATTGTTTAGTGAACATTATATAATAGACCTGTATTTGTGTTCTTTTCCATATTTTTTCTTGATTTCTAGTGTCATAGTGTTGTAGTCAGAAAAGATACATGGTGTGACTTTCTGAATTTGTTCAGACTTTTTTGTAGCTTAATACATGATCTGTTCTAGAGACTGCCCCATATGCACATGAGTGTGTATTCTGCTATTTTAGGGTGGAATGTTCTGAACGTATCTGCTAGATCTGTCTGTTCCAATGTGTCATTCAAAGCCAATGATCAGTCCATTGATGTAGGTGGGATATTAAAGTCTCTTACTATTATTATGTTACTATTGATTACTTCCTTACGTTTATTAACTGCTTTATGTATTTGGGTGCTTCCATGTTTGGTGCATAAATATTTACAATTGTTATATCTTCTTGGATTGTTTCCTTTATATTTACATAGTGTCCTTGTCTATTTTTACAGTCTTTGTTTTAAAGTCTATTTTGTCCAATATAAATAATGCTACCTCAGCTTTCTTTTGACATCCATGTGCATGATAAATGCTTTTTCATCTTTTCACTTTTAATCCACAGATGTCTTTAGGTCAAAAATGAGTTTCTTGTAGGCAGCATATAGATGAGTCTTTTTAATCCATTCCATCACCTGTGTCTTTTGATTAAAGCATTTAATCCATTTATATTCAAAGTAATTGTTGAGAGGTATGTACTTATTGCCATTTTGTTACTTGTTTTATGGTCGTTTTTGTAGTTCTATGTTCCTTCTCAGCTCAGTTTGCTGACTTTATTTAGTGATATTTTGGATTCCTTTCTCTTTATTTTTTTGCATACCTGTTACTGTTTTTTTGATTTGTGGTTACCCTTAGGTTTGTGTATAACATCTAATGCATATAACAATCTATATTATAAAGTTGATGGCTGCTTAAGTTTGAACCTACTCTACTCCTCTCTGCCCTCCCATGTTTTAGGTATATGGTGTCATATTTTACATCCTTTTATTTTGTGAGTCCCTTGACTAATTTTTACAGATATATTTAATTTTACTGCTTTTGTACTTCCTACTTTTCTTACTCTTGTTTATGGTCTTTCCTTTCCACTCAGAAGAGTCCCCTTTAACTTTTCTATTAAGGATGAGTTAGTGGTTATGAATTCCTTTAACTTTTGTTTGGGTTACTCTTAATCTCTCCTATTGTAAGTGATAGCCTTGCTGCAGGTTTTTTTCCTTCAGGACCTTGAATATATCATGACACCCCCTTCTCAGCAAAGTTTCTGTGAAAAATAAGCTGATAGCCTTATGGGATATTCCTTGTATGTTACACTGTTTTCTTTTCTCTTGCTGCTTGTAAAATGCTTACTACTTTTTGCCATTTTAACTACTATGTATCTTTGTGTTACCTCCTTAGTATGATTTTTGTTGGAGGCTCTACGTGCCTCCTGGATCTGGATGTTTCCCTTCCCAAATTTGGGAGGTTTTCAGTTGTTATTTCCTCAAATAAATTATTTGCCCCCTTTTCCCTCTCTCCTGGAACTCCTATAAGATGAATGCTTGATGGTATTGCTAAGTTCCCTAAGTCTGTCTTCATTTTCTATTCTTTTTTTCTCTCTCCTGTTCAGTTTGATTGCTTTCTATTACTCTGTCCTCCAGGTTGCCTATCCGTTTTTCTGTGCCCTCTACTATTTATTCCCTCTAGTGTATTTTTAATTTTTATTGAGCTCTTCATTTCTGAATGGTTTTTATGTTTTCTCTCTCATTTTTGAGTGTCTCATTGAGATCCCTCCCCTCTTTTCTCAAGTCCACTATATTCATATTTCTTAGCTCTGTTCATTTAATTTCTTACTGTGATTTTGTCCTGTTCTTTGATTTTGCATTTTGTCTCTCTGTGTCTGTTTCTGTGTTAGGAAAGTCAGCTCCATCTCCTGCTCTTGAGATTGATGGCCTTATGAAGAAGAGGTCCTGGGATGCCCTATAATGCAGTCTCCCCTACTCACCAGAATTTGGCACTTCAAGGGTGTCTCAATGTGTTGCATGTGCCCTGCTGTTGTAATTGAGCTGCTTTTGCAGTAGTCCAGCCATGGCTGTCTTTGCCTGTTGTGGCCAGGATTTGGTCCCGGTGTTGTTGCATCAGTCTGGGGCGGCCTTGGGTTTGAGTCAGACCAGGCAATGCCAGAGGGTAGCACCAAACTGCTGGGTGCTTTCCCTATGTTTCCCCCCGAGAGGCTTTCATTGGTGGGCAAGGCCTGCAGTGAGACCAGTTGTCTGCCCCCAGCCTACTGCTGGGGCCACAGTTGTGTGTGGTTATCTTTCCCTTTTCCTGGGACAGGAGTCACTTTGGAGTGGTGCTGCTTCCTGTCAGGTCTGCTTGCATGATGCCACCCTCGTGGCACCACTTTGGATGGGCTCTGGCCAACAGTGTATTGGAGGGGGCAGGTCTGCAGGAGAATGTGACGGCAGTTCATGCTGTTAGCAAATTAGGTGGTGAGTGTTGGACCTGCATTGGTTCCTGCTGGTATCCATGTATATAGGCTGGGAGGCAGGGGAGGAAAGTGGCACCTGCCAGCTCTTGGAGAAGTCTCCCAAGGATCCCTGCCCCTCCAGCACACACTCTGAGATTAGTAAAAAACCAAACAAAACCTCCTTCCCATACACCCCAGGTGTTAAACTGTTCTTCTATGCTGTATCTCCACAGGGCTGTTTGTTGTGCTCCACGTGCAGAGACTCCGTTCCTTGCCCTCTAGGCTTTCCACAGACCAGCCTGATTTTTATAGCATCCCATTTGTTAAGCCCTGCTGATTGTAGGAACTTGCAAAATTATGCCCCTCTGGTTTTCAAAGCAAATGCTTCAGACCATGTCTCTGCCCTCCCCACCCTCTTCCATGTTACCTGAGTTCCATGAGTCAGTTCTGCCAGTCTTTGGGTAGTTTCTGGGTTATATACACTGATACAGGTGTTATCTAGGTGTGTCCATGGGACAAGGTGAGCTCAGGGTCCTCCTACTCCACAGTCTTCTCTGGAAGTTGCCGTTATTATTTATATTGCTAAGCCCATTAATGGGAATATGTTTTTTAATTAACCCGAAATTATATGGCCAATTAATTTATGACAAAGGAGGCAAGAATATACAATGGGGAAAGATAGTCTCTTCAAGAAGTAGTGCTGGAAAAATGACAGCTACATGTAAAAGAATAATAGTGAACATGAATAATAGTGAAAAAGAATAGTGAACATGCACATGGAAAAAGCAATCATGGAGAAATAATACTGGTATCAAATGAGTCATCCATTGATTTATTATGATAGAGACTGCGTTTGACTCAGTGGTTAAGGAATATGTAGGAAAACTCCATATTTACTCTTTCTACTCTTTACTGTAAAATCAGTAACATGGAAAGTTCTTAGCTTACTTCACATTGCCTGGTTTTAAATACTGAGCTCTGTAAGTTGTCTTGCAGGGGACAAGAAAGCTTTTTTCAGATAATCTCTTTAAACCTAAGTGGTGCCAAAAAAGATCACATACTACCACAAAAATATATTCTTTTTATACCTAAGTTCTATGAAATAATCAAAATCAGATTTGTGTAAGCTGTTTTCAATCCTTATATGTAACATTTTTCAAATAAGTTTATAATTTAATTAATAATCTCCAATTATTTATAGTCAAATCTAGGTAAAATTTTAAAAGTTCTTTTATTATTTTGGGGAGTATTTTCTGCCCTACCATTATAACATTTCTTTTGTTAGACATAGCATTTATGGTGTTAGATATAAAATCTAACATCCTATCAGGAAAAAAACTGCATGGTTTCTATAGCTTCTGGAACCATTTTAGAACAAAATCTGAAAGACTGTCTTAATATAGATCTATACCAGAGATATATTTCTACATTAATAAAATATGCTTTATAAATTAATCTCAAGTCTGAGCCAGACACGGAAGGGTAGAAAGCCTAAATTCTGTACCCACATAATCAACAGTCTGTGGAAACTCTGGGAACCATGCCACTGGTCTCCAATGTAGCACAGTTGGGAAATGACACATTCTTTATGAAGCACTCATCCAGGAAATGAGTGGGTCAAAAAGCACACCAGTAAAAGGTCCATAAACTTATTTTATGAATGAAGATCATAAAGTGTACTGGCTCCAAGCTCAACACCTTTTATCATGCTGTTGGATATATAGAACAAAAAATAATTGTGTCAGCCATAATATGGTCCCATGCCATTTCATAATTATTTGTAATCAATTTTTTCCATATGTATCCTCATTCTCAGATCTTCCCACTTGTCCTTCCTTCCCCCCCAAAAATGAAATGGTATACACACAAACAGCACAAACTTAATCAGATTTATTCATGCTACCCATGAAAAGCAATTACATTTGTACATACAATCATTAACACAGAGACAAGAGAAATCTGATTAGACACACAACACAGAAAATAAATGTGAAAATTAAAAATAGTATATTTTAGTTATTAAACTTATACTGTACTTTCTACTTATTTATAGCAGCATCTGTAAGATTCCTCTATTTGTTAATAGTTAACTAGCAGCAAAATTTTAAAAATTACACAAATTCAGTAGATGTTTCCCTCCACTGTTTCATTCATACAGAATTTATCACATTAACCAAACAAAACCACTTCTATTTCCTAGAGAAAAAGGTAGGAAAAGATTTCAAAAGTCACCAGTTTCCCCCCAAGAAAAAGAAAGGGAGGAGTAAAGAAGGAAGATGAAAGAAATTTGCATGTTATTACCAAAAAATAAATTCTCCATTCCTTGACCAATTTTTGTCGAGTCTCCATGTGCGGGTTAGTGATTGAAGCTATGTTAACTTTATTTTCTGATTTTACATTGCAGTTGAAAAATATGTGGAAGTTCCCAGGAGGCCTGTCAGAGCCTGGAGAAGATATCGGTGTGTACCTTACATATTTTTAATTGCTTGAAAAAATTTAGGAAATTTCTGTGTTTACTTTTTAGCTCTATAGCTGAAAATAAGATTTTAAATTTTCTGAGAAATTTCAGAGGTTACTTCGGGGCTAATATAAAATTAGCAGCAAAACTTGTAATATTACAACTTATTCCATTAGTATAAAAATACTATTAGGAGCATACCACCTGTTCTGTTTAGGATTGCTTCTAGATTAATTTGTTTGAAAATAAAAAGCTTTTCATATACATTGGTAAAGTTTAGCATTTAGGGTTATTTTGGATAGGACTAATACTTTTCCTGGAATTAAACTGTAAGAAAACACAAATTCTTGACCATTTCACCACACAACCATGCATACTAACTTTATAAGTAATACTTATTTTGAGGTCCATTTAAAAGTCACTTATAGAGCACTACTGACTTAATTCTCCTCTTTATAATAATTTTGACTGCTATTTATTTTAAATAGTAAGGAAGCCAAAACTCTCTCCTATGAGAAAGTCTCAAAAGAGAGATAGCTCTCTAAAACAACTAAACAACTAAAACAACTTACAGAGCTCAGTATTTAAAACCAGGCAATGTGAAATAAGCTAAGAACTTTCCATGTTACTGATTTTACAGTAAAGAGTAGAAAGAGTAAATATGGAGTTTTCCTACATATTCCTTAACCACTGAGTCAAACGCAGTCTCTATCATAATAAATCAATGGATGACTCATTTGATACCAGTATTATTTCTCCATGATTGCTTTTTCCATGTGCATGTTCACTATTTAACCAACATTTATATATAAAGGCAACTTCCTAAATTATCTTTCAATATTTGTATATACTTGATGTGTATATACTTGAAACTTGATTGTTTTTTTTAATGTTACAGATTAAAATGCCCCATACACAGTACATAGACAATTCCTAACAAACCAGAAATAAATTTACCACACTGAGATCTATCCATTGCAGATTTTGGGTTTTAGGTACTTCAGGGACCTTCTGCGTAAATTCTGTTGTTTAGGTCTTCTTTTGAAATAAAAGATTGTGGAGTGATGCAAATGCTGAAAGAAAGGACCATTTACTTTGGAACACCTATTTATTTCATACTATCCTTATGTGATCTGTGACATTGTGTGTGAGCTAGTTAAATTTGTTTTACAACTTTACCCAGTCCATACTGGGCAAAAATCAGGCCACAGGAAGTTTGTTAGTTTCATCTTTTGAGTCTTGCCTTCCCAAATGAATGGACTTTTGAGTTTTTATGGATCCTGAATTTTTACTTCTATTTAAATGCAAATGAACAAACATTTCCAAGCATGCATAATTTTAGGTTTAAGTATACTCCAGAACTCATTAAGTCCAGGTTTAAAAAAAAAAAGGAAAAAAGTAGTGAATTCTGAATTTAAATATTTGTGGTTGTCACAACAACCCACCTATTTAGACAACATACATATGCCTCAACCATGTGGAATTAGAAGCAGCAACTGGCATTCATATTGTCTAGGCGTATTATAAATTAAAGCTTTGCCTTAGAAATAATAAAATCCTGAAAGCAGCTAGAAATAATAACTGACAACAGAGTTCTGAAAGACCATGACTTCTATCAGAGCATTTCTGTCTTTTAACACAATATTCTAAAGGATGAAGCCAAATCACCCAATAATTATTAAAATTATTTTCTTTAAATTCTGTATTTAGGAAAGTATGTAATATAGTAGAATACAGCCATCACAAATATAGCTCTTAAGTAGTAAACACTAGTTAACTGGAAACACATGGGAAACATATTTGTTTTGGAATCCTTAATTCTATAATACTACTAAGTAAATGAAGCTCTCTTGTCCACAGTGCTTAAAAAAATTAAGGGGGGGGGGCATATACAAAATAGAATGCAATCCTCAGGCTTCAATATGATACCCTAATAGTACAAAAGGATCTACAAGGTTAAAAATGGAGAAGTTGCCTTTCTAAAAAAAAATACCATTTACCAGTGACAGGAAGAGAATCCCCTGCATGGGGAAAGGACTATAAAGTAGCAGGTTCTGATCAGAGCTCATCAGTGCACCAGAATCAGAGGGAAACAGTAGGAAAACCCACATTCTGCCCAATTTTTCCTATTATTTTTTTCCAACCTAATCCTATTGTTAAATATTACAAAATAGAAATAACAAAATAAACTCCTCTTCACTGTCTTGTAACTAAACAAAACACTAGGACATATTTAAACATCTCAGTCAGCAAACATAAAAACAAAATCCCCTTGGTTTTTCCTATGTTTGTTAAACATATAGAACAGTCAATGTTACATCAGTTCAGCTTACAGTACAAATAAAGGTAAAACAGAATAAAGCAGTTAAATAAATTTACAAGTTTTTAAATTCATGGTGAAAGCCTTGGGGTAAAGATTTCCACGTTGAGGTGGAAGAAGTTACTCATACCTCATAAGTGCAAAAGCACTTATCTACCCATTCATTTTTTAGTCTAGTCAATGATATCTTGATTGAAGTTAAACTGATCAAACTACCCAGGGCAGTGCTGATTTTCAGTCAGCTGCTAAGGTGACTGCTGAGTAGGGTATATTCATTCACTCACAAGTCTGTCCTGTGCTTCCATGACACATAAAAAGGCTAGACTCCAAACGAAATGCCAAACTCTTAATTGGTGGTACTAAGAGTTTAACAGGACTCTGATAGTTATTTTTCAAAGTGTTTAAGGAATAAAAATAAACATTTAAACAATAGTTAAGTGAAATCAGCAAATGACATGTAAAGTTTTAGACTAGTGCAGCAGTTTAACAAATTTAGTAGCAAACATGTATTACATGCCAGGCTGAAAATTCTTTTTCTCATTAGGTTTTCCTTTTATTAACACAAATTCTTCTTTTATGTTTTAGTTTTAAATAGTAATTTCTAACCATGTTTAAACTATGGCAAATCTCAAGGGAAGGGGAAGTCAGCATGTAATTCAAAATCACAGACCAATGTCTTATATTTTCGGACCCTTTGCTCTTCCCATGAATATTTCCAGAGCGGTTTCTTAGGATTTAAAAAAAAAAAAAAAAAAAAGCATATGTAGGAAATTCTTAAGCCAGTCTTTAATCAGAGTTATGTGGAAATTGAGACATTTTTCCTTGACTTCCTCTTCCTTACCTATTCTTCACCAATAAGACTGAGAAGGTAAATAAAATTTTCTTTACAGCAAACAAGGAAATAGAAGGGTCTTTGAGGAAAAATCTGTGGCTCTGGCAATTGTGAAATTAGGAAGCTTCCCAGCAAACTGGGCAAAGAAGGCAGCTTTTTAAAGGGTTTTTCATAAAACACTTCGGGAGTCCGTGACAGGTCATCACAAAATTACAGAAAGCCCATTTAGGGGGTTCATCTGGAGATTTAGAAAAAGCAACCACAAAAATGTTGACAATAAACATTTTGCCCTAAAAATTTGCATAATATTGAAAAAATCAGCCTTATAAATGTGAAATCCTTGTTGTACTATTACAAAATTCTGTAAATTGCAAGTTTCTTGAACACTTCTGATAAAATGACTGCAGCTTGTTGGTGTCGGAGGAATGAATCCAAGTTCTTTGGAATCTCAAGAAACAAAGGAAATGCCCCAAATGACCATAATGGGATTCCACTGACAAGAACATAACAAAATGGTTATAAATGAATCTGTTCTATGACTTCAGAGGCTTGACAGTCCCACCCAAGATCACCAGGAAAGCTTTGAACATTTCTCCATTCAATACATTCTGCAGCTCTACAGACTTTTGTAAGGAAGAATGGATCACATTTTCTCAATCCTAATATGTATAAATTTAGGCAGTTTTGATGGATGAGCAGGAACAGGATAATAATGAAGAAACATATAGGAATATTAACTGCAGGAAACTAGGTTTTCAACTTCTGGGAAAGAGCAGGAAGAGATTAAAAATGTGACTCCAAAAATATACAGGTGGGTAAGCCTACAAATAGCCAAAGAAATAACTCAATATTTCAAAAGCTTCTTAGATATACAGTGGTAAGAAAATACTTTGGTATTTCAGGATGTCCAGAAGGCAAGTTTATGTTGAATCCTTTCTTAGGATGAAGTTTTGCTTTTCAACCTTTAGATAACGTTACTTTTATCTGAAAACTGTGATGATTAAAATTCTAAAAATGTGATCCTTACTGATTTGTACATCTTTCTTTTATATAGGAGACACAGCAGTTCGAGAAGTTTTTGAAGAGACTGGTATAAAATCAGAATTCAGGTCCCTTCTGAGCATTCGGCAACAGCACACCAATCCCGGAGCTTTTGGGAAGTCAGATATGTATATCATCTGTCGCTTAAAGCCATATTCATTCACCATAAATTTTTGCCAGCGTGAATGCTTAAGGTGTGAGTGGATGGATCTCCATGACCTGGTCAAGACTGAAAACACAACTCCCATCACCAGCAGAGTTGCTAGGCTGCTTCTCTACGGGTACAGAGAAGGGTTTGACAAGATTGATTTCACCGTGGAAGAACTTCCAGCAGTTTACACAGGCTTGTTCTATAAACTGTATCATAAGGAACTGCCAGAGAATTATAGAACTATGATAGGAATGGATTAAATCCATATTTGTGTTTTTAAAAATGTTAAGTAAATTGTACGTGTAGGATAATGTGTATCATATTATATGAAGTGGTGGACATTTGGGGTTAACTAATATCTGACTTTAATTTCCCAATTTTGTATAATTTCCATGAAGAAAATTTGTTTTTAAAAGCCTCTTTCCAAATGAAGCAAATGTATGACAAAGAGTATAGCTCTAAATAAGCTTCACTGGATAAAGGGAAATGCTATATAAAAGGTGGAAGTCTATACTTTTTCTAGGAACTTTTATTGCTTTTCTTTACTAAGGCAATGGTTAAATATTTAGTATTAGATAAAAGGTTATCTGACCATTTATCCAAACTGAGCAGCTAGCTGTACATTTTTTTCTTTCACTAACAAATTTCTAAAACATCTTCTTTCATATGAAATGAGATCAGATGCTGCTATTAAGATCAGCTCTTAGCAGACATTGGAAGAAAAAGTATAGCTTTCTGCCCAGGTCCTGTTTTGGGTCCAAGTTTATACTGCCCAGTTCGTTTCAGTGCCACATACCAGCTGGAGTATTTCCTTGACCGATAAGTATTGTAGTTATTAGATTCCAATCGTTCAAAAAAGAAACACTCGTCCGTAACACATTTCTGAAAAACAAAGGAAGAATGAGTAGTTGTTATTATGCTTTCACATGAAACACTTATGAGAGTGCACTGCCCCTTCTGCTCAACCAGCAGCAGTGCTCTTGGCTTCAGAACAAACTAGTTTGCAAGACTCAACGGGCCAAAGTCTGACAGAATCTAGCTCTGCAGAGGGATGCAGGACAAGAACTCAGCACGTCAGAAGGAGAGCTTTCAGGCACATCTCTTCAGAGGAGGAATTCAAGGACCATTCTCCAGCCCTACAATGGACAGGTTGGGGTATCAGGCAGCGAGAGCACACAGATGCTGTCAGAACCACACTGCCTCAGACTTAAGCCATCCCATGAACATAGCTTTCATGAAGGGGGATATACCCAGTAACAAAGAACACACTTCACTTAGTGAAACCCAAAGCTGTGGCTTCCAGTTAGGTATGTATGGCACATCCATACTCCTCCCAGTCCAGAGGCTGGTGACTAATCAGGGGTCGTTTTTACTTATACCAGGGTTCCCCTGAAACTGCTGGAAGGGTAACCCAGAGATACCTTAGTAAAGAAGAAGGCTTTGTTAATTAATACTTTACTCACAGAAACAGTACCAATTCTTAAATTACAGCAATTTTTTTCTCGTGGCTAACATTTCTAAGGCATAAAAAGAATAGTTTATTATATAGAATATAGCTAATGTATATATAATGCCAAAAAATTGTATTAGAACATTAATATATGATTAATATTCCCAAAACACTAACAGAGAATGAAGAATAAGTAACATAGACCATATTTATTTCTGGCAGTGTCTTTCTTGTGGGAGGGGAAACTACTCTCTGTTTTTATTTCGATTGAACTCTTTAGCGGGGGAAGGGGGGAAAAGCTAGCTTTACAAATAGACCTGGAAATACTTTCCAAGTAATGAAGTCTAATAGGCTGCTACATTATTTCAAGTAAATGTTCAAAAATCAATTTCACAGGGTAAACTGATGATAGTTCTTGACCTCTGGAGTGTGTGTTTGAGGGGGTGTCAACAAATGATTTACTTTAAAGAAAAATCATTTACTATTTATATTACAATTGGGAAGAAAGAATTATACCCATATGGAAAACCATAAAAATTTATACATATTTGTATTTCCACATACAAATACAACATGTACATGTATGACATAAACCTAAAGCTTCGTATTAATGAGTGTACCAGATCCCAGCTTATTTCTGTATATTCAAATCTAGGAAACTTCAGGTTTACAAAAACTACACAGTCAAAAGACTTGAATCCTTTCCCAGATTCTTTAGTTCTAAGATAAACAGTGGCACAAACTGTGAGAAAAACATAAATCAATAAGCAGAACAATGAAAAGAGCTGGCATAATAACCAAAATGAAAATGATCTACATGTAACTGGCATTTCCGTCATCTAAAGTAAGGGTGTGGTACTAGATCTTGTAATCTGCTTCTAGAGATAAGAACTTTACTGGATATTTACTTGGCCTTAATGTTTTGACCATTGTTAACTTTTCAAAATGGAAATACAAACTTATCTGATTTGCCCATTTTTTGTAACAAATTACTACGAAAGCAACTGAAGTCTTTCTTATGCAAATAAGTGACAGGTAGCATTACAGAGAAGCATTCATTGCACAAGGACCCAGCTATGTGATACACAGGACTGTCCTATGCATAAAGATTACACCTAGGATAATATTGATATTCTATATAGCTAGTACTTTAACTCTTCCTTTGAAGTTGATTATGCTTTTTGTGTTAACTGAAGTCAACCGGTGTTACTTTGTCATTTTCCAGTGCCACTGATAAAAATCTTCCTCTTTCCCTATTCCAGGTTTAGGATCAGGAGTAGAAGCAAATAGGGGATCCTGGGCATTTCAGTCAGTTAAGCATCTGACTCTTGATTTCAGCTCAGGTCATGATCTCACTCACAGTTTGTGAGATCAAGCCCTGCATTGGGTTCTGCACTTGTTGAGCAGAGCCTACTTGGGATTCTCTCTCCCTCTTTCTCTACCCCTCCCCCACTCACACGCATTTTCTCTCTCTCAAAATAAACATTTTTTAGAAAAAGAAGCAAGCAGAGTAAAGAATGAGAGGATAAGTCACAGTAATCATAAAGATAACGTGAAAGGTCATCATTGAGCTTCACAGGCTAACTCTCCAGAGACCTGAACCACCTCATTCAGTCATCATTCTGGACATTGATTTTTTTGGTGTTCTGTCAGCTTCCAGGATGTCCCACCTTGCTAAGTTGGCACTCCCTACAGTGCTTGGCCTATTGGGATACATACCATGCAATAATATGTCTTCTCAATCAGTTCCTAGTATTTCAGAGAAAAGAAATAGTACCAGGGATTAAGTGGATAATACATCATGAATCCACGTTTTTGTTTTTATTTTGTGGTTTTTTTGTACAGAACTTACTTGTACCCTTACAAAAACAAATGGGAGGGAAGGAAAACTAGCTTCTGTGCTGAATGTTCAGATATGTAAATTTACTAAACTATTACATAATTGAAAACAAACTACATTTTTCAAAATGGGTAGTAGGGGCAAAATTCAAGTCTCAAGTCAAGCAGGCATTTAACAGCCCAATGTAAATACAATTTTCAGTCGTCTCCATTCTAAGTTTACAAATCATCATCGGTGACTGTGATTTCAATATTCCCTGTTAAAAATGAATGCAAAGTAATTTTTGCCAAAATTTATAAACATTTACAGCGCTTTTTCCCTATTCTCAATGTTTAACGCTAACCTTTTCAAACTTAGAAGAAAAGGGAATCTTCAAAGAAATGATGTCACAGAAGAAGTGGATAAAGTAGCTTCTAAGGGTTTATAACAACTTGTACCCTGTCTTTGAGGCCCTTATTTTATATAGGCCAATGATCTGGGAATTCCCTTAATTCATGGCTTTTGACTGTTTCCATGTGTATCATTTAAAGATACAACAATCTTGTGACATAATTATCTTATACCCATTATTTAAAACTCAATGCTCTTCATAACTTATTTCAGATTGTGGACACTCACTCTGCCTATGTATCTGATCCCTTTTCATAAAGCTAAGTTTTTCTTTTTTTTTTAATTCAAGAATAATTGGGGGATATAGAAGACACACAGTTCAAATGGTGCATTTACTCATTTAATGCATAGTTTTTCTTCCAGCCACTGGGATACATCAATGAACAAAACTGAACAAGGATCCCTGCCTTTGTGCCATTCAAATTCCAACTGGAGAGACACGCAATAAGTATAACTAAATATATGTTAAAATATGATAAATCCTATGGAAAAACGTAAAGCTGAGTAGGGTAAGAGGGATTGGGAGTAGAGGAATAAAGATTAGGTTGCAATATTAGCATAGTCACAGTATGCACAATTAAGAAACTGACATTTGAGCAAATACTTGAAAGTGAAGGAGTTAACCATCCAGCTCTCAGAGAAGAAAGAGCATTCCAAACAGAAGGAATAGCTAGTGCAAAAGCCCTACAGTAGGACCATGCCTAGAATGTGTGAGAGGCAGCAAAGAGGCCAGTGTGGATGAAGCGAGGGCTTGAAGGGAAGATACAAAACAGATGAACATAAGGAAAGGGAAGCAAAAATAACATAAAAACGCAGGGGACAAAACACAAGAGACTCTTAAATATAGCGAACAGAGGGTTGGTTGCTGGAGGGGTTGTGGGAGGGGAGATGGGCTAAATGGGTAAGGGGCATTAAGGAAGACACTTGTTGGGATGAGCACTGGGTGTTATATATAGGGGATGAATCACTAGAATCTACTGAAATCATTGTTGCACTATATGCTAACTAACTTGAATGTATATTTAATTAATTAAATGTCTATTTCTTTTCTTAATGAGTAAATCAAATTGTGTTAGCCTCCAGTAAAAATACAATGATACTGCAGAATCTAAAATTAGCTAAGACCAAAGAAATTCAGACTAAGAATTGAAATATATCAAGATCATCTAACTTTATAGACTATTTAGGCCCTGGGAAAACTAAATCAGATGGCTCTAATAATTTGACTATCCCAACAACATCTGTGAGGGTCTTTGGTGGGCCAGGCAACCTGGATTCCAGACTTGCCTTAATTCTTAACTAACTCACATTTATGAGGAAGTCACTTAACTTTTCCAAGCCTTACTTTCCTCATCTGTAAAATAAGATTATATTAGATGATCTTTAGGATCCTTCCCAATCTTAGAGACGCTTGGGTGACTCAGTTGGCTAAGCATCTGACTCTTGATTTCAGCTCAGGTCATGATCTCATGGTTTGTGAGATCAAGCCCCGAGTCAGGCTCTGTGCTGACAGTGTGGAGCCTGCTTGGGATTTTCTCTCCTTTTCTCTCCACCCCACCCCTACTCAGTCTCTGTCTCTGTCTCTCTCTCTTCCTCTCAAAATAAATAAATAAATAAACATTGAAAAAAAAAAAGATCCTTCCCAATCTTTAACAATCTTTAAGGCTTTAAAGTCTTTTAAACAATCTTTAAGTCTTGATATACAATGAGAAAAGAAGTATCTCCCATTATACATTGATCAATCACACAAATCTGGTCCACTGCTACATGTTAGATTTGAACTTTATGGTCATTTCCCCATGCTCTGTTTTTTGGACTGTTTATTCTTTTACAGTACTTTGATTTTTCAGTTTTGGCTTATGAGGGAGTTTGCTCAACATGAATCCAAAAATGCTTTGCTTACACCACTTCTGAGAATTAAAAACAGACATGATGTAAGTATCAATGTTGATTATTTCAGAACAAAATAAAACATACAAATTGTGAAAAGTTAAAAGCAAATTGGACCTTAATTTTTTTATATACGTAGAAGTTGTGTAAAATTTTATGAGATTGGTTTGTAAAAGCAGTAATTCTCATTAGGTAGTAACCTTTGCATTTAATATTTTCTCTCTTAAAAATCACATACATTCCTCTTCAATTACTGTATTTTTCTAACAAATTTGATCAGTATGTATTGTCAGTCTAGATAATTGGATAATTGAGCCCTCCAAAATCTATTTTCCCTACTTTGCTATGCACAGGGGTCTCATTTCATTGTTAAGGCCCCTCAACTAAGAAAGTTACTGCAAATGTATAAAAAAAAAAAAAGTAGTTTACTTTTGCAGTTGTTAAATGTATATCCTCAGAGAATACAATTTTTTTCATATTTCACTATTATGGATCAATACAAGTTATACACATTTCTCATATTGCTATATCTTGTTAAGGATTTCATAATCTATAGCATTATCTAGAAATCAATATGCAATTTTTTATACCAATGCTAACACTGATGTTTGGGGACTTAAAACTACAGTTAACTTCACTATATGCAGTTGCAGTTTTTTTAAACCTACAATTTGTGAACACATAACAAATCATAAATCCTAATATTTGTTCTGGGCTTCTGTTGTTCATGGCAACAAAATTTATCCTGCTATGGAATGGAGTAAGAATCTGTTGTGTATTAAAGAATTCCTCAATTTCAGCCTCTAAATATAGGCTTTGCCAGTTAAATATAGTTAAACTTCTGCTTTTTCTAACTCCAAAGTCGGGGGGGGGGGGGCCAGGCAGACCCTTAAGAAATGTTTTCAAACAGTGAGAAATCCTTACCCTGAAAGTATTCATGCCATTAATATGTGAAGGTATTAGGGGAAAAAATAGTACATAACTTAAGTCTTTTTTCATACTCCCAATGGTAGCAATCAATGTAACACAACTCTTAAGAACCAAAATATTTTATGTGTCCAGAGTACTCTTCTATCCGTGACAAAATGAGAATGTTTTGCAAATCACTCAAGAATCACACACAGGGGAGAATGGAGAAGAATCCAGGGATGTGCCATAACACAATAGTCTGAAATGGAGCCAGGGAGAAGAGTGGAAAGAATTATGCCTATGGCAAGTGCAAGTTCATAAAGTGGCTTTCCACTACTTGCAACATATGGTGTATAAGGCACTTCAGCAGTCTATCCACCTCTCCAGCCTTATCTCTTCTTCCCTTCCACTTTACATTTCCTTTGCACTTTACACTCCAGCAGTAGTGAATTACTTATAATGCTAGAGAAACACCTCCTAAGCTTTCTGACTTTGCATGTGCCGTGCCCTGGAAGTACCTATACTCTCATCTCCACTCCTCTGCCCCATGACTTCATGATGAATTCCTTCTTCCATGTCATCCAAAATCCCATTTATATGTCATCCTCCCCAATCTAGACAAATTTAGGCCCTTCCTTTCCTATATTACTTCCTATGTCATAGTATTTCTTACTTCCTTTCCAATATTATTATGCATCTATACAAGATACAGAAACAACACATCAAAACCCTTACACATTATTACAAATACTTATTTACACTTCTGCCTCCCCAAGATTATGAATCATTACGGGCACAGACCATTTTGTATTCAACTTTATAACCCAGTTGCCTAGCATAACATCTGGCACACTGTTGGCTCAATAAATATTGGCTATTCTTGAAGAGAATTCTGAAGTTTATTCAACTACCAAAGAGAGTGCATGCCATTATACCCAGACTTGTTATTTATCCCGCAAAAATCACATAAATTGATAACACATCAACATAAATATATCTTTGTCAGATGATCAATCAGATGATTGAAATATTTTCTCCCTAAGTCTGTTTTGGTCCTTGAGAAATCCAAAGGTCTTCACTCAGAAAAATTTTCAAAAACTATTTGTATGCCGTAAAACACCACAAGTGTTCAGTAATATTAGATCCATTCTGTGGGGAAAGTTATAGGCGATTGTAACTGGCTACCGGTACTGGTATGATGACTATTGTGTATACACACACACACACACACACACACACACACTTTCAGGTATGTGTCCCATCTATTCCCCCAATGAGACAGGAGTTGGATCTATATCTTTTATACTGCTGTGCACTATTCCCCACACACTATGTCTGCTCAACAAACATGTAATCCTGGTTCTAATGACAATGGTGGAGGTGGCAGGGAGCCTGCATTAGTGAAAAGAATATTACCCAGGAGCTAGGACTCATAACTAGCTTTGAGAAAAAGTAAAAGAGTGAAGTCATTGTCCTGACTGAGTTTATATATAACTGAGAAGATGAAGAGGAAGTAAATATTGTGAGGATCTATTATGCATGACCCAGATTGGGCACTGGATGTAAATTATCTAATTTAGTCCTCACAAAAACTCTGTAAGATAAGATCATTGTTGTCTCTATGTTACAGGTAAGAAAACTCAGAATAATTTGCTCAAGAACACACAGCTAATACATGGCAGAGCCACTATCGGCATCTAGGTTAAGGGCCCACATTATCAACAAGTATTCTATATGGCAAGCATTTTGTATATGAAATCTGAGAAAAGAAACTTAAAGACTGATACTCAAAATTGTATATATCCATCCCACTGATCTTCAAACAATTACACAACATGAGTTTATTTTCATAACTGTGGCTTAATAGCTTTGCAGAGAAGGCAGTAAAATACAATGAATTAGAGCTCATGCTCTGGAGTCAAGACTGCCTCAAATGCCATCCAGGCTCTACTTCCTAGCAGCTGTGTTTCCATGGTTACTTTATTACTTCCTCAGAACTTTAGTTTTTTATCTGTGAAATACAGTAATACTGTATTTTAGAGGGTGAATATAAATTATTTAATACTTGCAAAATCCTTAATGAAGAATAAATACCACTACTAGTAATTAAAGCAACAAAAACCAATGAACAAAAAAACTACAAAAAACAGCATTACTTACAGAAGCCAGTAATCTTCCATCTTCCTTCATGGCAAGATAGCGGTTTGCACAGACTCCTTTGATGGACACAACCCCTCTCTCTTCTGCCTGAAGCTGCAGTTTGACTGTAAATAATGGGGGAAAAATTACCTTTGTAGCATCACAGAAAAAACAGCCATCTACACACTTATGCAATATAAAGACAAGAGCAACCAGCTAATCCACTCTGGAGGACTGGCAAGGTGAAGGGAAAGGGGACCGGTGTCAATTAGATCATACTCGGATGAGACCCAGATGCTCTAGAGCATGAGTGCTTCCAGATTCCCTTCTCTCTCTAGTGTCAGTGAGCAGAGAAGAGTGGCAGAATGGGGAAATGTTTTCCTTTGATGTGTAATTAGTCTCCACTTGGCCTGTTAACTGCTTACATATTTTTAAAAAGTGAACATATTTTTAAAATACATAAAAATGTAAACCACTTATAAAAATGTCCATACTACTGCCTAAGTTTAAGCTTTTTATTTTTTTTAATGTTTATTTGAGAGAGACAGAGAGCAAGAGAGAGAGAGAGAGAGCACATGTGCACATAAGGGGCGGGGGGCGGGGCTGGTGGTGGCAGAGGATCCCAAGTGGGCTCTGTGCTGACAGCAAGAGAGCAGATGAGGGGCTCAAACTCACAAAACGGCAAGATCATGACCTGAGCCCAAGTCAGGCGCTTAACCATTTGAGCCACCCAGGTACCCCTTAAGTTTAAACTTTTTAAGTTATTTTTAACCAATTCTTCACAAATAAAATATAATTGCTCACTATTATCTTTTGGTTTGTTTTTCCTTGAGTTTCTTTTTTGTTTCAAACTTTTCTGTAAATTCTAGTTAGTTAAATAGTGTAATATTGGTTTCAGGAGTAGACTTTAGTGATTCATCACTTCCATGTAACACCCAGTGCTCATCACAACAAGTGTCCTCCTTAATGCCCATCGCCAATCCAGACCATCCCCCCATCCACCACCCCTCCATGAACCCTGTTTGTTAAGACTCTGTTTATCTTCCCTTTTTCCTTCCCCTGTGTTCATCTGTTTTTTCCTACACATCTTATTTCTAGCTTCCCTCTTTTAAAATTGTTTATTTATTTTTGAAAGAGAGAGAGAGACAATGTGAGTGGGGTAGGGGCAGAGAGAGAGGGAGAGAGAGAATCCCAAGCAGGTCCACGCTGTTAGCACAGAGCCCAACGTAGGGCTGAAACCCCACAAAACTGTGAGATCATGACCTGAGCCGAAACCAAAAGTAGGACACTTAACCGACGAGCCACCCAGGCGCCCCTAGCTTCCCCCTTAATACAATACCAATGCATTTATCTTTCTTGAAAGAGGGATTGTGATGTATAGCTATTTTAGTTTGCAAATATCTATGTAGTGGAAAACTGAAATGCATACTTAATTTGCTTTTACAACGTGTTGAAAGATTTTCAGAGTGTAAGATCTTGAAGAGGGTGACCTGTTATACTGCATTATCAGTATTAAGCAGACCGTAGTAGGAAAAAAAAATAGATATTACATGATTATAATTATGCCATAAGAATAATTATCTAATTGATTCAAATAAAAATGAAGTTAACATCTTCTGTTTTGCTATTCAGAGGCAGCATTCTCCTTCCCAGAACAGTATTCTCCAAAATGTATTTTGGCAAACAGAGGTTACATATAAAAAAGAGGTTCTGGGGCCAAATAAGTTTAGGAAAGTCTTGGTTAAGCCAAGTTAACTCTTTATTACCTTCTCACACCTTTGCTTCTTATAACTTGCCTTATAAGTCACCATAAGAGGGTATACACCATAAGAGGGTAAGTATACATTGTTTATATAAAATTTACCTGGTGTCAGAATGAATTTTTGCATTCAACATATCTAGGACATTCTCGAGAACAACAGAAAAAAAGCAGTAAATATTCAAACATTTAGAAATCAGCATAATATTATTTAGATAACATTACAAAGTAAGTTAATTCTCACAGGCATTTCCAGGTAGCTAGGGAAACATGGCATAAAAAAGCAATGTTTGAAAGATTCTGGAATTATTATTCACTTTGTTAGATATTATTATGTCATATAATTATGTTTTAAAATTTTCTCTATCAAGCAGAGCAACATACAGGTAAAACAAGACATAACATCTGGGATTAGCTTAAAAACATTTTAGCAACCAAAAATAACATATTCTAGCAGCCAATCATTTTTTTAATAAAGTGGGCAGGATATTTTTGTTATTATTTTTAAATAAACATCTATTTTTTAGAGAGTGTGTGTGTGGGGGGGAGAGAGGCAGAGAAAGAGAGAGAGAGAGAGAGAGAGAGAGAGAGAGAGAGAGAGAGAATCTCAAGCAGGTTCCATGCTTAGCATGGAGCCTAATGCAGAGCTCAATCCCATGACCCTAGGATCACGACCAGAACCAAAGTTGAGTCAGATGCGTGACTAAGCCATCCAGACAACCCTAAAGTGGGCAGGATAAATAAAACAAGATTGACTAACCTATGTCAATAGTTATTAGAAGCATGGGAGTTTATTATTCTATTTGCACTAGTTTATGTCTTTTTAGTCTGTTGAACATTTACTGTGTGATTCTCTTCTGTGTATCAGTCATTATTAGATTCCAGACAGCACAGCATTAGGTAAGCCTGCAGTTACCAGGCAAAATTGTTCTGCAGAATCTTACAAGATAATACAAGGCTAAATGAATATAATCAAAACATGAAAACTAAACAAAGAAGTTCATAAAGCCTTTTTCACAATACAGGGAAATGTAGAAAATAAGATTTATTTTTAACAAATATAACCAAAATTATCTTAATGATTATGAGCAAAATCCTTATATACAACTCTAAAGTGATCTAGATAAGCCGTATTAATTATGAACACATTTATATTTCTTTTTAGCTCAGAAGGTTGCATAAAGGCTCATGAGGCAAGATTGCATAATCACTATACTTTCTTCTGGTGCTTCATCAATAAAGCATAGCCTAGCTCTAGCCCACCATCATTAAGTGTGTATTAATGGTCATAAGGGAGATTATGGATAGTAATCTCAATAACCAGTGGCCAATGCCAGTGACTCAATACCCAGAGTAACATCATTGATTGATTCATCAACCTTTTAGAGATTCCTTGGGTATTATTCCACACTAGGCAATTATCACTCAGTAAGTCACTAAAAATTAAGTATCAATTGTAGATGCTTAAAAAAATGTTTCCACTGCCAAATAATTATATGCACTTTTAAAAAAATAACTACAGCCTAAAACGACAAGCTGTAAAGCCATGAAAGTCATAAATTTTCTTTAAAAACCCATTAAAACTGAAATGCAAAGTAACTCAAATGAACTAAATTCCATATACATATGATCCCTTCTCAAAAACAGAAATGACTAACTGCTTTTATCTCTGACAGAGGAAAGAATAAACCTGCCAAAAAGGGAAGTATGGAGATACCAGCTCAAATTTTACTAGCTGTTGATGTGAAGAATTAGAATTCTGAGGAGCTCTAATCAAAGAACAACTCCATATCCACCTGCTGGTTCTCTCTCACAGAGCTTGCACCTAGTGGACAACCACCACATATCAAAGGTTGGGACAGAACAGAAAGACTGAGAAATCTACCTTAGGCCTTTGCTGAGTGCAAAGCAGCAGACCACTGAAAGAGGGGAACAGGAAAAAGCTAAAGAAGATTCCTCTGACAGGCACTGAGCTGTCACCAAATGCAAAGCAGGATCAAAAGAGCTCTTCCAAGATAAAGAAAGCCAAGGGTTGAGTTCAAGAGTAAGGCTAACCCCTGACCTACCCAAACAGTTGGCAGCTGGCTATAAGGCAAACTACAATACAAAAAATCTACTCAATTAACCCAAAATAAGAAAGGAAATGAGAACCAGAAGGACAAAGAACAGATGGGGGAAATTAGAAAACAAATTCCAAGATGGCAGATTAAACCCAAACATACCAATAATTACGTAAAAGCAAATGAATACATTTAAAAGAAAAAATTCTCAAGATAAAAAAGATTTAACTGTGCTGTTTACAAGAAAAGCACATTAAATACAAAGACACAGGAGTTGAAAGTAAAAATGTGGGAAAAAAATATAAAATGTACACCCTAAGTGTAAGAATGCTGGTATGACTATATTAATATGACAATGTGGACTTCAAAGCAATAGTATAAATAGAGATGAACAAGGTTATTGCATGATGCTAAGAGGGTAAGATACATCAATACATAATAATCTTAAATATGTAGATAGAACAATAGAATCTGAAAATACCTGAAGCAAAAATTGACAAAAGAAATGAACAAATCAATAAGTATATGGAATATATAAGTAACATCTACCAACTTGACCTTATTTTTTTTTTTTTTTTTTAGATCAGGTAGCTTTCATTCACCTGAGACTTTATTCTCCTATTAACATCATAGTCTTTGAAAACTGCTAAAAAAAATAAATAAATAAACTGCCAGCATGGTAAGCTAGCTTATGCTTATTTGCCTAGTAGACTTGAATTGTTCAAATCAATTACCTCCAGCTAACAAGTTCTTTTTCCAAAGTCACCATGATATTAATATCAAGGGCTTTTGTCCTAAACTATTGGGTGCTTCTGGTTCCTTTGTTTTCTTTAACAACCTGTAATATGTAGTAATTCACAGATGATACAATTCATTTAAAGTGCACATAAAATTCAATGGTTTTATTATAGTCACAGAATTGTGGAACCATCATTACAATCAATTTTAGAACGTCTTCACCATCCCATATGCTTTAGTACTCACCAACCATGTCCCCAGTACCACCATCCTCAGCCCTAGGCTACCATTAATCTACTTCCTGTTTCTATAGATTTGCCTATTCTGGATATTTCATATCAATGGAATCATGCAATATGTGGTATTTTATGACTGGCTTCTTTCACTTAGTATAAGGTTTTCAAGGTTCGTGCACATCGTAGCCATTATCAGTACTTCATTTGTTTTTATTGCCAAGTAACATTCCATTGAATAGATGAACCACATTTGATTTACCCATCCATCAGCTGATGAACATTTGGTCTGTTTCCAATTTTTGGCTACTCTGAACTATGCTATGAACATGTTA